ATATTTTTCATCATACAATTTACTATTTTATGGCAAGTTGACAATTTGTAGGTCTATGCGGGTTTCTAATCCAGATAAAAATTTGATAGCGTCATTAATTCTTGAAAAACAGTAAAATATATGATTATTTTGAAATTTATTTGAGACAATACTAAAATTACATTAAGGCTACAATTTAAATTACAATTAACATCTGAACTGAAAAACATTAAATGATGTATTAAAAAAAAAACAGTTGTTCTTTTGTGTGTCACGTGATGCTTTAATCATTCTCACTTCTTTAAAAACAAACTTTTTTTCTTTAGAAGAAAAAAACAAGAGAGAGAGAAAATGGATAAAAACAAAAGGATTGATGGCGAAAACCGTGAGTGGAGTTTACACGGCCATCCGTCCCGTCGTCGACTTGGGAGACTCTGGTATCCTGGGTCCCACTACCATTAAAGTATTAAGCTTCACTTTCCTTTCCCGGCCCCACCACTCTCTCTATCTCTCTGTTTCCACCACTTCCCCCATTACCCAGTTTTATGCAAAGTATGGAAAGGATCATATACAAGAACAAGAAAACACCATCGTCTTTCGAGTTTTCGTGCTTTCACTCTTCGTTTCTTGTTGTTACTATTTATTCACCTGCACAATTACACTGTTAATACATTTCTGTATTTTCCTAAACCACGCCCCCATTTTATTGATATTATAGATTACGACTATCACTGTTCCACGTAATCTCTGTTCTTCCTAAGTCCCATTATCAGGCCTGACTAGTGTAACAACAGTGCCTGGCTTCTTTTAGTTTATCCTGCAAAAGCAAAGCCATTGTCCTTTTCTTCGGTCAAACTAATTTGTTTCCTTCTCACAAGAGTTCTGTACACGTTATTGTCTTTTTCTTGCCAGATTCTCATTCTACTACCTCTTTCCTAAACTCTACTCTCTTCTCTCCTTAACCAAACTCCTCCCAATAGCTTCCCCCGCACCTTATCGCATTATATAACAACAAACTAATACCACGTTAAATTCAAATATCTGTATATTAGAAAATTAGAACCTGTACCTGTACTTAAACTGTACATTGTTCTGTTTTCAGTCATCATGAACGGTGCTCCAAAGCACGAACGCCGCTGGGCGTCTGATACGGTGCCGGATGTTGCATTCGTCAGCGGAGGGACGTCGCCGGGAACCGAGTCATACTCCGTCGCNATGTTATGTAGTAAGGATATTTATGTAATAACATAAATATCTTAGATATTTTAGACAGTTAAGATATTTGTCAAAGCCACTAGCCACATTTTTAGGTAAGGTGGTTATTTTTATTTTGCTTATAAATGCAGTGACAGGACCAAAGTCCAGGTACGTTCTCTTTATGCTCTAGAGACCCTAAATATTATTTCAGAGTAATATCCAATTACTCTCTTGAGAGCTTCAGCTCCATAACTCACATCTGACTTGAGCGTCGGAGTATCTTTGCAGGTACCTCCCCCTCCTTTGGCAAGTATGAAGAAGTATGAAGAACAACAATGATTGGAGAAAAGCACGCATCCCAGATAACCAGCAAGCAACCCAGACACACAGGAAAATGTACACCGAAACACAGGGAAAATAGAAATATATTAAAACTTAAGAAATTAAACCTAAAATAAATTCCAAAGAAGGGTTTTTATTATTATTATTATTATTATTATTATTATTATGTTGTTGTTGTTTAGTTGCGGTATAAACAATAGTCGAATATGTTATGTGCAAAGGACAAGATTTAACATCTGAAAACGATATTTAGAAAATAATATTACTTAAGAATAAAAAGAAATAATAATATAGGTCGGTGTTGATTCAGACTTACGTTTACATATACTACGTAACTACCTAACCAAGATTTTATGAACTTTCAATCATCCAAGAAAATTCAACAACAATGAACGTTTAAATATAATTGTCTTACTGATATGGTTGTTTTACGTATGAATTATTTTGTTTTCAACAATACTAATTGAGTGATAATAGAATGATACATTTTTATATTTATTTTTACATATTATATAAGGATAAAATGATTATAAAAAATAAAATTTTGTATTTTTTAAGAAAAAAAATATTGTTAAATGAATATAACAAATTTGTGTGTGTGAAATATCATTTCTCATACTAATAAAATTCAATCACAAATCTGATGTTTATGTAAAGATGCAGTTACCAAATGCTCGTTTGGCCACGACGATAACTGTTTCTGATATGGACGTAATAATTATATTGCATAGTTATATTATATAGCGTGAGACAGAATTTTTCTACCATACTCAATCATTTAAATTTATTTCAAACTATTCTCACCCAGATAACTCTTAAAAAATGAAATTCTCTTCGAACTCCGACACATAAAAAAAAAAATTACATTATTTGATTTTCTTCGTTTTAAATCACTTGAGTTTAATTATTCCATGGTTCGTTAGGATGATAACGATTTTCAGGTTATATATAGATAGTGTTTATTTCTTATTTGATTCACATAAAAAAAATCACTTTAAAAAATATTTTAAAACCCGTGATACTTATAAATACCAACAAATATTTAAAAAGTATATTTTATATATAAATATATAAATTAAACTTTAAATAAGATTACAAAAAATATATAAAATATAATATAAATAAAATTAATTATAAATTAAAATTTAATTTTAATTAAATTTAATTTGATAAAATATAAACTAATTTTAATTTTAATTAAATTTAACTTAATAAAATATAAATTGAATTTTTATTTTTAGTTTTTACAAATAATATAATACTTGTATTTGACTTGTTTATAATTTGTTACCCACAAATAATAAAATATACAGAAATACTAACTATTTATCGTAATTTTATCTGCAAGTACCTCTAGATACCGGTGTTTTTGCCCTATCTAATTATGATGTATCTGTGATATAAAACTTCACGTTTACTTGAACAAATTTAAAAAATAGTAAAACTTACATTCATCCCTATTGTATCTTTTTATTTCTTTCTTATCCAATCAATCTAATTATATCTCTTTTAAAACATTTTTTTTCTTCTTACATATTTCCATTGTACTAAACAATTAAATATCTTTCTTCTTGACTTACTCTTTCTATTTATTTTTTCTTAAAATCAGTGATTGGCAACAACTGGCAACACTAATTATCATCCACGATTTTCAATACCTAATAAAAAAATGATTAACTACGTTTTTGTTCTGTGGATTTCAATTGGTTTTAATATTCTTGTGCAAGACGTTTCTGAATACTAAATAAGAATAATCTTTATAAAGATGTGAATCACAAAAATTAAGAATGTTAAAGTATATGTAATAGTTTTTTTTTTTATGCCTATAAAATTGTTGTTGAGGATAGGAGTTGGTGAGCAATTGACTTGAAACTTGGAAGTTAGCGATGGCTTCCTCATATCTTTCGCCAATATACGTAATGCTCTTCTAGAACAATCTCACCTTCTCTCTTTTCCATTTTCTTTTTCTTTTTCATAATTAAGAACTAACTCAAAATAATTAACATTATCTCAAACATTAAACATGTCTGTTAAATGTGGAAGACATTTAGAAATATGAATATGAATAATGTAAGCAACTCTCAATTTTTAGACTCAACACAGAAGAAGAAGAGAAGATTCTAATTAGGTCAAATTTAATAAAGAATTATAAAAAAAAGTGTAAATACAAATTAAAAGTATAATTATTGAAACATATTATTAATATTTATTACTACATTAACTGTTTTACTGATTAAATGTGAACTAACTTCATCATAACACTTTTATCTATCTGATATGTTGGTTAACAATTTATCCACACCACGAAAAAGATAACATTAAATTACACGACAGAAATTATTTAAGTGAACGGACCATACACAGAAAAAGAATAATAAAATTATTCTCTTGAGTGGATTTGAGAGGATTTGAACATAATTTTTTTTTGTCGTTTTTTTGGGCGAATTTGAAGGTAAATTAGAATGAATTTGAAAATAATTTTTTTTAATTTGTCATGTTAATACAATTCTATACTAATTCTCACAAATTTTATTTTCAAATTCACTCTCATCTACCTCCAAATTCGCTTAAAAAAACGACAAAAAAAATTATCTTCAAATCCTCTCAAATCCCCTCAAATTCATCCTCTCAAATCCACTCAAAACAACAAGCCCGACATCTAAAAATCGCTGGGCTTAATTTAAAAAAATAAATGTATTTGCTTTCAGTATGGATGAAAAATGACTACTTCAGTCAAACACAAAAGACAGATACTTTGAAAAGGTTTTTGTATGGTTTTAATTCTACGGTCATAGCCATTTGTAGTTAGAATTAGGAAACAACAAATACTGCCGATTCGAAAGTGAGACTCACAATAAACCTCTATTTTAGTATTTTACTTGCTAAAAGAACAAAGAAAGAATCCTATCCAGTTTCTGGTTTCTACCTCCTTATCTGCTCCAATTCGTTATTTATCATATTTTTCATCATACAATTTACTATTTTATGGCAAGTTGACAATTTGTAGGTCTATGCGGGTTTCTAATCCAGATAAAAATTTGATAGCGTCATTAATTCTTGAAAAACAGTAAAATATATGATTATTTTGAAATTTATTTGAGACAATACTAAAATTACATTAAGGCTACAATTTAAATTACAATTAACATCTGAACTGAAAAACATTAAATGATGTATTAAAAAAAAAACAGTTGTTCTTTTGTGTGTCACGTGATGCTTTAATCATTCTCACTTCTTTAAAAACAAACTTTTTTTCTTTAGAAGAAAAAAACAAGAGAGAGAGAAAATGGATAAAAACAAAAGGATTGATGGCGAAAACCGTGAGTGGAGTTTACACGGCCATCCGTCCCGTCGTCGACTTGGGAGACTCTGGTATCCTGGGTCCCACTACCATTAAAGTATTAAGCTTCACTTTCCTTTCCCGGCCCCACCACTCTCTCTATCTCTCTGTTTCCACCACTTCCCCCATTACCCAGTTTTATGCAAAGTATGGAAAGGATCATATACAAGAACAAGAAAACACCATCGTCTTTCGAGTTTTCGTGCTTTCACTCTTCGTTTCTTGTTGTTACTATTTATTCACCTGCACAATTACACTGTTAATACATTTCTGTATTTTCCTAAACCACGCCCCCATTTTATTGATATTATAGATTACGACTATCACTGTTCCACGTAATCTCTGTTCTTCCTAAGTCCCATTATCAGGCCTGACTAGTGTAACAACAGTGCCTGGCTTCTTTTAGTTTATCCTGCAAAAGCAAAGCCATTGTCCTTTTCTTCGGTCAAACTAATTTGTTTCCTTCTCACAAGAGTTCTGTACACGTTATTGTCTTTTTCTTGCCAGATTCTCATTCTACTACCTCTTTCCTAAACTCTACTCTCTTCTCTCCTTAACCAAACTCCTCCCAATAGCTTCCCCCGCACCTTATCGCATTATATAACAACAAACTAATACCACGTTAAATTAAAATATCTGTATATTAGAAAATTAGAACCTGTACCTGTACTTAAACTGTACATTGTTCTGTTTTCAGTCATCATGAACGGTGCTCCAAAGCACGAACGCCGCTGGGCGTCTGATACGGTGCCGGATGTTGCATTCGTCAGCGGAGGGACGTCGCCGGGAACCGAGTCATACTCCGTCGCCGACGAGTACGTCGAGGTCACTCTCGACGTTCAAGACGATCACACCATCGTTCTCCGCGGCGTTGAGTCGGTGACTGTCGTTAACGTCGACGAAGACTGTGCCGCGAGCGGAAATGAAACTCCGGTGTCTTCTGCCTGGTCTCCGTCGATCAGGAGGAGCTCTCCCAGCCGGTGGAGGCAGTTCTCGCAGGAGCTTAAGACCGAGGCGGTTGCGAAGGCGAGGCAGTTCTCGCAGGAGCTCAAGGCGGAACTGCGGCGGTTTTCGTGGAGTCAGGGAGGATCTGAAACGGCGTTCTTGCCGCGAGATCTTAGGAAGCAGCGCGCTCAAATTGAGCGCAACAGCTCCGNAAATATCTGTATATTAGAAAATTAGAACCTGTACCTGTACTTAAACTGTACATTGTTCTGTTTTCAGTCATCATGAACGGTGCTCCAAAGCACGAACGCCGCTGGGCGTCTGATACGGTGCCGGATGTTGCATTCGTCAGCGGAGGGACGTCGCCGGGAACCGAGTCATACTCCGTCGCCGACGAGTACGTCGAGGTCACTCTCGACGTTCAAGACGATCACACCATCGTTCTCCGCGGCGTTGAGTCGGTGACTGTCGTTAACGTCGACGAAGACTGTGCCGCGAGCGGAAATGAAACTCCGGTGTCTTCTGCCTGGTCTCCGTCGATCAGGAGGAGCTCTCCCAGCCGGTGGAGGCAGTTCTCGCAGGAGCTTAAGACCGAGGCGGTTGCGAAGGCGAGGCAGTTCTCGCAGGAGCTCAAGGCGGAACTGCGGCGGTTTTCGTGGAGTCAGGGAGGATCTGAAACGGCGTTCTTGCCGCGAGATCTTAGGAAGCAGCGCGCTCAAATTGAGCGCAACAGCTCCGGTACGAAGAAAGCACTCCGTGGACTGAAATTCATTAGCAGTAAATCCAACGGCGCTGATGCCTGGAACGAGGTGCAAAGCAATTTTGATAGTCTTGCTAAAGACGGTTTTCTCTACCGCACCGATTTTGCGCAATGCATAGGTTCGATTTATTTTCAAATTTCAGTTCAGATTATTCCGTTGCATGTGTTCGCATTTTCATTCCTTTGTTTACGCTTTTGCTTCAAGAGTTTTTTCTATTTGATGAAGGAATGAAGGACTCTAAGGAGTTCGCACTGGAACTGTTCGATGCTCTGGGTCGTAGACGAAGACTCAGGGTTGAAAAGATCAGCAGAGACGAACTTAGCGAATTCTGGTCGCAAATTACCGATCAAAGCTTTGATTCACGGCTCCAGATTTTCTTTGATATGTAAGCTTTGATTGACTAAATGATATTTTATGAAACATGATAAAGTTAGTTAAAAGTAATTTCTCATTAATTTTTTTCCTATCTTTTTATTTTAATGAACCCCACTCTTCTTAAATATCTTCGTTATTTGCTTTAGTAATTAAGGATTTTCCCAATTTTATGAAAAGAACTGTGACATGAAAAAGTAGCGTTTTAGTCTTTTTTTTCTTTCTATGTTTTTAATCATTCAGAAATTAAACGTAGAATTTTATACTAAAGAGAAAAGTTTGAGTTTTAAATAATTAATTAAATAATTTAAACTTAAAATGATCTAAGTTTATGAAGCATTTTATTTGAGGTAGAAATAAATCTATATTTAAGTTTATTTTTTTTTTACGTATTTGTATCCGATAGAAATAGAAAAACGCCTGCAAAGCTTTATTTTCCTCCCTGCCTGATTAGAATCCTAATCACCTTCATAGGGTGGACAAGAACGAAGATGGTAGAATAACCGAAGAAGAAGTGAAAGAGGTACATTTCTGTCCGAAATTTCATTTCTTATCTCATCAACAGATATACATCTGTGCACCTATGACATTTTAATTGTTTTCTCCTTTGTCCACTGAATTAATTTTTTAATATATTTAAGACTTTTTATGCATAGCCATGTGAATACTATTTTTCTATAGGCTTTAAAATAGTTGAAGCTAGCGTAACTCATAACCATCATTTTTTGTAAGTGAAAGCGTGATCAACAACTTCAAAAGAAAGGGTAAGGAAGTTGACATAGCCAGATTTCTTTACTTAGTTAGAACATAGTTAATTCCTTTCTTCCCATGTACACTTAATTAACACAATTAACTACAGTCGTATATTTAATTGTATAAGTTTTACATGTGTTGTTTGCTTTTATTTTTAAAAATTGAATTTTAACTTTTTTTTTTTTATATTAGCCTTCTTGTCTGTTCTTTTTTTGCTAATAATTTCCTCAAGAGCAAAACACGTCCATTTTCTACATTCATTATAATGAAAATATTTAATTAACTAATTTATTTTTATTTAAAGGTCAGTGCTATGTTTGTTCTATAGCAAATACACTTGTAGTCAAGTTGACTTTTAATAATTAACCACAACAATAACCAGTTGAAGTTGAAGCAGGTTATCCACAAGCAGTAAAATTACATGTAATGTCACGCAATACGACACCAAATAAAAATATATTGCTATAGATGAAGATTATATTTCTTAAATAAATAAAATAAAAAATTTATCATATTAGTTATAGTGTAAATAAGTGTTTTAATAGATTGATCTTTATTCGTCTCTCCACTCCGGACGTTTTCTATTAATTGTTCCAAAGCAATAAGTATACTGTTAGGTGCTATTCAATGAAAGTTAAGTCATATTACTCGTATAATAATTAATAATTATATATTTTATCATTTATATGTCACACTTTTTCTCTTCTATCCTTTTCTAATGGTTGTAAAAATGTGTAATTTAATTATACACAGATAATTTCCTTTCTAAGGCCAATGAATTTCTGGCTTTTGCTGACACAGATGCCACTCCCACTTTCTTGATTAAACAAATTTATTGCAATTTATAAAGTTGACGCTTTCAGTGCGGTTGGTGGGGGCATGATGGACATTTAGCTTAAAAAAGTTTTAGGTGGTCCAAACATGCCTGTCATAGAAATACTACCCTCGGTCAAACATTCAAATAGTTGTTTTAATCCCAATGATTCCGTGCTTGTTTTGTAAATTAAACCGATTGACTCTAATTTTTTTAATCTCACCAGTTTATAAGCACATACCACTTACTAGTTTAGTTAAATATTTTTAAATTTTAATAACTTAAATTAACATTCTCAAATTTGTGGCACAAGTTGGTATTCTCAAATTGGGTATTAAGAATACAATATTACGTTAAGTGTTAAGCAAAATTTATTGCCCGTAGTTCTTTGATCCGATTTCAGTCAAACTCGGGGTTGGTAAAATAATGGCAGAACTTTATTCTTTTGCCAAACTAAATTGTAGGTTATTTTGAAACTGAACCTACATGATGAATTGAGAAAGGATAAACTCAATGAGAAAATTCTTTGATTTATAAAAATAGGACCGAAACAATCACTAACACAGAAATTATATTCAGTGAATATTTATTTATTACTGATGACACAATAAGCTAGACGGTGATAAAAAAATAAATTATGTAGGATTTATTGTGTGATTTTTAATAATAAAAAATTACTGTTTATTTTATTTTTCTTCTTAAACATAATAAAATCAATTTTCTTGTAATTTGGAATTGAGGAACATAACACTTTTATATTATAAAATAGTTATTTTATCCTTACAAAATTTAGCATGATCATCATCTTAAGGACAATATATTTAAAATAGAAATGATACACACACACACACACACACACATATATATATATATATATATATATATATATATATATATATATATATATATATATTACCTTTTTTATAAAATCTTTGTTCCATTTTACTACTAAACCTCATAAATTTGCTACTCACAACAATTATTAATTTTTTGAAAAATGTATATCTTGATATTAAATGTTGCCTCTCTGTAAAGTTAAAATTTGTATTAAACACATGGTTATATTTAATTTCTCAGATCATTATGCTAAGCGCTTCAGCAAATAAGTTATCCAGATTGAAAGAGCAAGCCGAAGAATACGCAGCTCTGATCATGGAAGAGTTAGACCCTGAAAGACTTGGGTACATTGAGGTTCGAATTCTCTACAAACCATAACATCTGAATTTATCAAGAAAACTTGCATATGTTTAATTCCACGATATATTGAGTATGTCAACGAAGAAAATATTGCTACGTGGTTGAGATGTACTCCATGGTTAATTTGGTTTCATTGTTAATTTTTAATTTAATTTTTTTGTTATATAAAAGTTATTATCTACTCTTTCACGTATTTTAATGAAAGCACTTCAGAATGTGTTCTATGCTGGTAATATTTTGTCATGTGTTATAGAGAAAACGACAGCGCAATTTGTTTCGTTTATTAATTAGGTTTATTCATAGTTGTTAATCAAGTCAATGCATGATCAGCTCTGCTCCTTTATATATAGTCCAAAGTTGGGTGAAATTTGTTAGCAAATTACATGCTATAATTAATTATAGGTGTCCTAGAGGACACGATTACATAAGGAATTGAATTGAAGTAACAATTCAATCACTGTACGTGCATAGTGACGAACGCATCCTAGTTGACTCAATTACATATGTATATATTGTGTACTTATTTAATACGCTTTTCGGCTATTTTTCGATAAACTACCATTTATTTGTTATAAAACAAGACCGAAGATAGTACATAAAAACTGTAAATTTTTTTTTTTAGATTAGTCTTTATCCAAAGTTATAGTGATGAAATAGAATACGTAATTTTGTATTAAATTAAATATTTTAAAATGTCATCATATTACTTAACGCTAGCGAGAGTTAAAATGAAATAAAAAAAAGTTAATGCAGTGTAAAACATATTTATGTGGACATCCAATAAAAAACATTTAATATAATCTCATTGATTTGGCAAGAGCATACATACCTTAAACTCGTACGTGCGCGTGCTGTTTTTTCGTTCTATATGTAGGAAATAATGGAACCTTTAATAATGAAGGTCGACAATTTGAAAAAGTGTTTTAGTATAGGACTTTAAACTCTGCTAGTTTTGCGAGATTTTAATGGTGGCTGTGTTGGCGCAGCTATGGCAATTGGAGACGCTTCTGTTACAAAAGGATACGTATCTGAACTACAGCCAAGCACTAAGCTACACCAGTCAAGCTTTGAGTCAGAACCTACAAGGAAGGGCAAGAAGCCCGATACATAGGATGAGCCGCAGGATGATCTACTATTTGCAAGAAAATTGGAAGAGGCTTTGGGTTTTAGCATTGTGGGTTTCAGTGATGATTGGGCTGTTTACGTGGAAGTTCATCGAGTACAAGCGAAAAAATGCTTATCATGTCATGGGTTACTGTCTCCTCGCGGCCAAAGGTGCTGCTGAAACACTCAAGTTCAACATGGCACTAATACTCTTTCCCATCTGCAGAAATACCATAACATGGCTCAGGTCCACCAAGTTGGCTTATATTGCACCTTTCGATGATAACATTAACTTTCATAAGGTACGCCCCACACAGCACCACCAGAAAACAAGTTGAATATATTAAAGTTGACCATGTTTTCAAAATGCTGTATCTCTTATCTCTTAGATGGAAAATATATTTTTAACAATTTTTTTTACAAGAACATTTATTTATAACGTGTGATGGATCCGTTTCAAATATAAATACTAATAAAATAAAATAGTAATACATAATCTATTGTGAAAATATTGTTAACATATCCTAATCTTCTTAAATATGGTAAGATTTTATTGTTATCGTTTTATTATCCGATCATTAGAGATTTCTGATCCATTAGAGTGCTGATCGAGAAGTATTAAAGCCACAATAAGAGATTTAATTTATATTGCAATGTTTAATTTTTTATATGGATATACATATTTTAAAATCTTAAGAATTAGCAAAGCTCGTCTTATTATTAGTGTCATAAATACGTTTTACAATATTCGCATGTCGTAAAAAAACCTTGGCTAACGTGCATGATAAAATAAATTCTATTTAATTAATTACTGATAAAAAATCTAACCGTGCAGACAATTGCTGCTGCAGTAGTGATTGGAGTGATACTTCATGCCGGGAATCACCTTGCTTGTGATTTTCCGAGACTTGTAAATTCGTCTGAAAAAATGTATGAGAAGTATTTGGACGGCGTATTTGGTGATCACAAACCCAGTTACGGAGACCTCATTAAGGGGGTTGAGGGCATGACTGGAATTCTCATGGTGATTTTGATGGCAATAGCATTTACTCTTGCAACAAAATGGTTCAGAAGAAATCTTATTAAGCTTCCTAAACCGCTTAATAGGCTCACTGGTTTCAATGCGTTCTGGTATTCACACCATCTATTTGTCATTGTCTATGTCCTTCTCATCATTCATGGTGTAAATCTTTACCTCGAGCGCAAATGGCACCTCCAGACGGTATGCAACTTTTAGTATCAAATTTCAATTGTTTGGAAGCATCCTTAAAGCTTTTTTTCCTTGCCTGCTTGGTTACTTAACGCATTGATCTCTCTTTTCAGACATGGATGTATCTTGCAGTTCCAATCGTTCTTTATGTGGGAGAAAGAACGCTAAGATACTTCCGTTCTGGTTTCTATACAGTCCGTCTTATAAAGGTGAGCAGAAAAAAAAAACAATAGCTAGGCGCTTCTAAAAGAATAATCAAATTTGTTATGATCTTGGCATTTTAGTTTTCTTTCGTTGCTTACAATTGCTCTTGGCTAATCTAGCACAAATAATAAACAATGTTAAAAACTAAAACTTCAATAAGCTAAACAAAACGATGCAACTCGAACTTACGGATCTTATTTTGTGAAAAACATCATTGTAGGTTGCTATTTATACTGGAAATGTTCTGACATTGCAAATGTCGAAGCCGCCTCAATTTCGTTACAAGAGTGGACAATACATGTTTGTACAATGTCCTGCTGTTTCTCCATTCGAGTGGTAAGTTGCTATTTTCTTTTTTCTACATTACTTTACAGTAGCTGAACTTCTCATGCTTCATGTAAATTCTAAGCACAAAATGGAGAAAACTAATTTAGTACTATAACGGGTTAACCCCTCTAGGATGTCGAAAAAGAAAATAATTGAAATGAGATCACCTTTTACATCATACTGTTTCTATTTCACTTTTTTACGAATCTTTTTCATGTTAAGTTGGTTGATATCTAACAATACACTTACGTATGACAGGCATCCGTTTTCTATTACCTCTGCTCCTGGCGATGACTACCTGAGTGTTCACATACGGCAACTGGGAGATTGGACACAGGAGCTCAAAAGGGTATTTTCTGCGGCCTGTGAGCCTCCCGTAGCTGGAAAGAGCGGCCTTCTCAGGGCTGATGAAACCACCAAGAAATGGTACGTGATGGACCTGCCATATTTGTTTGCCTCGTAACTTCGACCTTAGAAAATAATTCTTTATGCTCAGATTCCTGTCATCTTCTTGGTATCAATAATTGACACAGCTTACCAAAGCTAAGGATAGATGGACCTTACGGTGCGCCAGCACAAGACTACAGAAACTATGATGTCCTACTACTTGTCGGTCTCGGGATTGGAGCAACACCTTTTATTAGCATTCTAAAAGATCTTCTCAACAATATTGTCAAAATGGAGGAGCTGGCGGTTAGTTTTAGTGCATTCATTAACAAAATATTGATTGGTGTTCTTCACATAAAAATGTGCAAATAAAAAATATGACCAATCTCCGAAGGTTTGTATGTACTATAAAAGTAACGTCATGGTCGCTTACTATCCAGGACTCGGTCTCTGATTCCAGTAGAGGTTCAGACCTTAGCACTGGGACTGCAGATTCGCTGTCTTCTAATAAGATTTCTCCGAAACGGAAGAAGACACTTAAGACTACCAATTCTTATTTCTACTGGGTAACAAGGGAACAAGGTTCTTTCGATTGGTTTAAAGGGGTCATGAATGAAGTTGCTGAACTTGATCAAAGGGTATTAACTGCTATATGTATTTATATTTTTAGACTTTCACTTGAAGAGTTCTATGTATTAATTTCCTCTGCTGTCAGCTGAGTAAGTTATATATGTATTTAGCTTATGTTCAATACCTTATGGACTTCAGGGTGTTATTGAGATGCACAACTACTTAACTAGCGTATACGAGGAAGGCGATGCCAGGTCCGCCCTCATTACTATGGTGCAAGCCCTCAACCATGCAAAAAATGGAGTTGATATTGTTTCTGGGACTAGGGTAAGCCTTTCATTTTTGCCATTTATTATTAACTTCATACGTTTTAGTTTAGGAAAAATAAAAGAATCTTTGTTTTTCAGTCTTGACTAAGTTGATTTTAAACCTTGATTTGCTTCTATAAATTTACTACCAGGTGAGAACTCATTTTGCTAGGCCAAACTGGAAGAAGGTTTTCTCTAAAATATGTTCCAAGCACTGCAATGGAAGAATAGGTCAGGCAATCCTCATGAAGCATAAATTTATAGACATTGTTTTCATCTTATACTGACATCCTCAATTCGCAACAGGGGTATTCTATTGTGGCGCACCAGTTTTGGCCAAAGAATTAAGCAGACTCTGCTTCGAGTTCAACGAAAAAGGTCAAACAAAATTTGAGTTCCATAAGGAGCATTTCTAAGGAAGTTTGGACGTATCTTCGTAACTGTAACCAGTCAGCACAAGTGAATTGCAACTTAAACCTTCGTTTTAGCAACTTGTCGTGGCCAGATTATAAGATTTATTCAATAAGCTAAAAACTTAAGCAGAGAATATGATGAGGCATTGTATATACCGGCCAACAAAATGGCTGGACATTTCATCATACATGTGGTGGCTGCGCAAAGGAGATATTGCCCGTGCAAGACCTCGGCAACACTTAAGTTCTGACAGATCCCCTCATTCATTCTGGCGTATTGCATAGACTATTCCATATACACCGCATAGAAAAATATACAACAGTTTTGAAAGTGATAAAAGGAATTAGGTAGTTTTCCGGTTAAGGAGCAAGACACATAGGTCCAACAGGGTGTGTGGACAATTTATTTTTGACAAAATCATAATCGTTATGTAATATTTTTAAAAATTATATTTGAAAACGATTATTTATCAAAAATCAAATGACAACATACTTATACAGAATTCTCCTTTTCTTCAAGTGAATTCAATTATCTTTCTAGAATATGGAGGTTAAAGCGATGTTTGAAGCCTGCTGCTTCTGCTGGGATTTCTCATTCAGAAGAAATATTTATACACTGTACATGAAACTGTTAATAGTATCCTATTCTTTATCCAGTGAATAGTGCATGAAACTGTAATTAAGATTTTGAAATAAATACTATAATTTAATAAATACTATCATCAACAAAATATTTTAACATTTTTTAAACAAATATAACACCAAAATTTGTGTGGTATAAATTTAACTATATACAAAAGAAATATGTCATTTGACTTCGGCGGATAGGTCAAAATAGTAACTCACGGTGCGAATAGTAGGGCCCGTATAGATGGAGTGACCTTACATCTAGGAGAAGTCATACACTTTTGTCCCTTTGAGTTTGTAGTTTGAACTTTTACCAGATTTTGTTAAGCTGAGATATACGGTTTTACATTAATTATAAGGCTTCCACTGATAAAAAAAAACCATTATATTTGTATAAGATTATAAATTAATAATGTTATATTTCAAATAATTTTATATAAATTGTATAATATTATATATCAATTATTTTTATATAAATGTTAGAGTTGGTTTAAAAATAATATTTTTATAAATTTAAATGAAAAATTTATAACAAGTTTAAATAAATATATTTAAATTTTAAAAAATAATTAAAATAAAGTTAAATTTAAAAAAATAATTAAAATAAATTTAAATTTTAATATTGTTAAAAGTATTTAATAAAAAATTTAATTTTAATAAAAATATTGTTATAATAATTATATAAAAATTTAATTTAATTTAAATTTGAAAAGTAAAAAAAATATTTAATTTAAAAAAATAAAAATAAAATTAAATAAAAATAATAAATACAAAGAATAAATTAAAATTTTAAAAATTATAAACGTGAGATATTTCACGTTATTAATATAATACTAACAAAAAAACTTAATTATTTCATATTTACAGAAATAAATATTCAATTAATAACAATCTAAAATAGACATACTTAAATTTTTTTTATTATAAAAGAACCAACTGAATATTTAAATTTATAAATATTTATTTAGAACATGTAAAAAAATATGTTTTTATAATTGTATTAATGCATTTCAACATAGTTTCAAATAAAAATTTTAATATGACTAAAACAATTTTATATATATATATATATATATATATATATATCAGTCATATAAGTATTCTTGATTGGATTCTATTAAAATGTTTGTTATAATATGTAAGAAAATTTTTCATATTTTGAGTTAATGTGGTTTACATTTTTTTTTAATCAAGTGAAATAATTTTATTTACTTACTATTGTATCTAAGAAAAGTTATATGATTAATATACAATTGATATTGTAGTTAGTAAATGACGTCTAAATTTTATTGTTATTATGTTAAATTATCAAGAATTAATTTTGATCACTAATAGTATTAAAATTAAATAATGATAAAATAATTAAAAATATATATAAAAGAATATAATAAAAAAAACTCCAACCTTTAATATATATTTCTTCTTCTTCTTGATTTTTTGACTTTAAAGGCTTTCTGTTGCCGGCAAGGAACAGTTGGATTGGATAATCCTTACATTGCCATCATCACACATGGCGTTTTCAGATCTCTAATCAAACTTAGCAAACGCTCATTAATTAATAATTGACACTGCCTAATAACTTGTACAGCACAGATCAATCATTCAATACCAATGCCAAGGTAAAAGATTTAGATATTTGAAGTCTTTCAAGATTTTTCCTTGCTATTCCCTGTTACATAAAAACAATAAATTCCTCAACACCTTCGTTTCCACATATAACTGAGAAGTGAAACACCAATTCTCTATACCTAGCTATTCAGACAAACATTCTTATTCAACACATCAAGCAATACATAATCGATAAGCATGTACGATAGCAAGTCCTTACACAAGGAACGAGGTAGCGCTAAATGTTTCGTATGCATTCTCGCTTCCTTCGTCATCTTATGTGCACTTCTACTGGTTTTGGCCTCTATAACACGTGTGAGGGAGCCACGTGTCAAAATAAGGTCAGCTACGTCTAACCAAATCACTCACAACGCTTCACCATCGTCACCTTCCTTCAACGCCACCATCATCATCTTTATCAGCATCGACAACCCCAATTTCGATGTCTTCGCTTACGAGAATTGCAGTGTGAGTGTGCTCTATGCGGGTGTGAAGATTGGTGATAGACCAATCAACGGTGACAAAGTGAGTATCAGAAAAACCAAAGAAATTAATGTTACAGTTGATTTGAGGTCCGGTGATCAGGTACCCGTTACTGCCAATTTTTCCGGTGACATCAATTCAGGGAGGTTGAATCTCACCAGCTACGCCAAATTTACTGGCACAGTTCGTTTTCTCAAAATTATGAATGTCAAAAAGAGCATCCAAATGGCTTGTGCTATGAAGCTCAACTTCACCTCTCTCGTACTTCAGAATATTCAATGCCAATAGTAACATTTCTTCCTGGTTTCTCACAGTTTGCACTTTTTTCTTTGCTTTCCTTTTCATTTCATTGTCTTAATTAAGTGCACTTATCTCTTTTTTTTAATTATCTTATTTGTAATATTTTTATATAGAATTTTATTTTATCAATGTAGTTTATTTTTTTAACGATATAGAAATTTGGCCCTGTATTAAAAGTTTCAATTAAACTTCTCTATTTTTACATTATCATTGATTTATTTGTTTTTATTAAACTGTTTAATAATGTTATTTATATTCATTCACGTAAGACATCAAATAGACATTAATTTTAAAGCAAAAACAATTGATTCAAAATTTTAATAATATAGATATCAAATTAAATAAATTATATAAATACAGATGTTAGAGAAATAAATCAGCCTTAATCTTTTTAAATAAAATATCTTTAATGAAAATAAAAATAATGTATTCCTATAAAGTCAATAATTTATTTTTAATTGATTATTGTCTCTCTCCATTTAATGTGACAATATAGCCTGACTGCGTCAACTTTTTTTTTTTTCATTTTCAGATGTATTCTAAACTAATTAATTTAAAAGTTCAACTTTTTTTTAAATACTAAAAATCTTCATAGAATTGTATACATAAGCACGCTGTGAGTTTAGTTTAATTAGTCCTCTACTGAGTTTGATAATTTTATAAATATATTTAACTTAAATTTTACAATTAGATTTCACAAGAAAATCTAGTTAAAAGTCATGAATTTTTTTTGTGAGAAAAAGTTGATATATTATTAAAAACTCTAAGCAACAATGAGTACTAAAATTAAAGAAATAAGTACAAAAGAAGGCTTATAACAGTTCATGTACATAATGTTCATAATAAGCTTTACATTGTACAGAGTAGGATGAAAAATAATTTACTAAGAAAAAAAAATATTTGCTCATGATTTTTAATAAGGTGTATTCTCGTTTATATAATAAATTATAATCTTAACATTGATTAATATAATATATTAATTGTATCAAGTATTTTAACATTTTTTTTCTTTGTAAATCATCACTCTATATTAGAAGTAGAGTAATTGTTTAAATTTATATTTTCTTGTGCAAAATAGGTCATGTATTAGAATGGTATTTTATGATATTTTAATTTAGTTTTCGTTATTTTTTTTTTATCTTTCTGAACATTTTTTTACACTTACTTTTGTATAAACAAATTGTAAGCTGACACTCTAATTAGTATTTTATTTTATTTTAAATATTTTTAATATATATGTATGTATGGTTATTTAGGTTGATAGTTAGTTAACGATATTATTAAAATTATTCAGATGGTTTTTGATGGTGAGATAATTATTTAAAATAAGTGAATATATTATGATTTCATTACATTAAATTATATATATGATTCATTTTATTAGGATTTTATTTTTGTAGGACATAATATTGATCAGGTGTGAAATAATTTGATATATTGAATGAGATTATGATATGATTTAGTATAAAAAATATAGTAAGATATGGAAAGAAATTATCTTAGTGGTGTAGTTTTAGAAGAAATAATCTGAAAAAAAATATTTGCAAATTATACATTAATAATTATTTGTATGTACTTCAGTTATTATTAGAAAATTTATATTAAGAAATTAATTTTTTTGAGCTTAAATTTATTTTATTATATATTTGGTTTTGTTGTAATTCTTCTTAAGCAAATACATGTCTGGTAAAAAATATATTTTATTTAAATAATTTATTGATTGTATTTGCTGATGTGAATTATTGTTAATATTAATACAAATTATTAGACTATGCAATAGAAATGTTTTTTCTTACATTTATTTTGAGGCATGTGTTTTACAAAAAAATACAATAAATCTATTACATTTGATAAAGAATATAATAATTAATGAAAAAAAATAGTGGTGATGGCTAACATAAATTTATTAGAATAATTAATAAAAATAACAGTTGTAAATAAATCATAAAAGGGCATCTGGTTTTATTTGAATTTCTTTTCAATTTATATATTTCTACTTGTTTTTTCGACTAATGTGTACACTTAGTTGCAAAGTGTGGTTCTGAGTGACGTTAATTAAGTTTCGATATTATCAATAATGATCCTCAATTATATCAAATGTGCAATTCTTTCTAAAGTTACTTCAAAATATAAATAGTTTTAAATTGGAAAACATTTTAAGTTTTAAATTAATAACGAAAACTTGTCTAAAAATAGATAAAAACAATTTATACGATAACTAACAAGTAAAAATAAATCTTTAAACATAAATAAAAAACTGAATATAAAAAGCAAGACACTATTTAATACATTATGGGCAAGTTATAAACATCTTTTGGAAGCAAAAACAAATATTAAATATTGCGTCTATGTCAGTCAGGAATTACCTATGAAAATACAGTAGCTGAGAAACTAAATAAAATAAATACATAAAAGATGTGCATATTCAAAAGAAAATATTTTTCTTTTCAAAAACAATTTCCCTAATTTTAATTTTTAGTCATTATATTCAAGCTAGAGATAAAAAGGGAAATACAAATAAAGGGAACCCTTTTTATTTTTTCAAATATATTCATTTAGAAATGAGTCCTGAACAGAATCACTTAAAAAGGAAAAAAATAATAAAATATTATTCTAAAACGGAGTATTGAAACTAAAGTTCTTAAACAGTCTGCTCTAAGCTTACACCTTAAAGAAACAATTTATATTATACAATCCAAAAATTACGTGACCGAAAATTATAATGATAATTGTGAAACCAGAATTTACAAATGGACATAATTTATTTGATACTCCAACTAGTAATACAGTTATTAGAAAATTAAAAAGAGTAAATAATAAGAAATAATGAGTGTGTAAAAAATGAAATTAAAAATTTAAATTTAAAAAAGGAAAGAAGCATCACAAGTTCCTCCCTCTCTATATATATAAGTGGACATGGATTCTTCAAAAAACAACAGGAGTTTATATTTCAGATTTTTCAGACATTGGTCATAACAAAAATCTGGCATAAAAATATAAAGTTGGAGATTGAGAAAAAAGAAAAGAAATGTCAGAAAGCATGGAAAGTTCGTCCTCAGGTTCAATATGCAGATATACAAGCAGCACAACAGAGGAGCCATGCACATATGCAAGCAGCAAAACAGAGGAGTCATGCACTTATGCAAGCAGCACAACAGAGGAATCATACACATATGCAAGCAGCAAAACAGAGGAGCCACGTACATATGCAAGCAGCACAACAGAGGAGTCATACACATATGCAAGCAACAAAACAGAGGAGCCAAGCACATATGCAAGCAGCACAACAGAGGAGTCATACACATATGCAAGCAGCAAAACAGAGGAGCCAAGCACATATGCAAGCAGCACAACAGAGGAGTCGTACACATATGCAAGCAGCAAAACAGAGGAACCATGCAGATATGCAAGCAGCACAACAGAGGAGCCATGCAGATATTCAAGCAGCACAACAGAGGAGTCATGCAGATATGCAAGCGGTACAACAGAGGAATCATGCACGTGTGCAGGCAACAACATCTCATCAGAGGAACTGATCTTAGAGTTTCCAACACGACAAGAAGAAGATACAAAAAACAGTAATGCATATTTCGGAGTGGGTCTGTTCATTACTTTTTTGGCTCTGATGATTTGCTTTGCTAGTGCATTTTTTTATTTTTCAAAATAAATTAATTTTTTAACAAATTTTTATGCTAAATAAAATTTTCTTTGTTTACTTTTTTTAATAGGAGATTATTCCTATATTATTTCAAAATTCATAAATAGATCATTGCATACACACCCACAAGATTAACAGAAATATTAATTTATTGGGAAAAAATTTAAACTGTAAACGTTAACCTTTAATGAGTACAATGTGTTATGAAAAAAAAATTAAATTTTGAGTAAACTGATTCTAAAATTGCTTTCTTAAATACATTTTTGTTTTCATCCTCAATTATTATATATTTTTATTTTTAAAATTTAAAAATAATGAATATATAACTTTTCTAACCTAATGAAATTAGTTTCTTTCAATTATTAAATGATATTTCAATTTAAGATGTAAACTTAACTTTTCAAATAGTCTAAAAAAATATTTAATTTTTAAAAGAAGTTAAACTTGTTGAGTCATTATTTAATTTTTAAAAAGAGTTAAATTTGTTGAATTAAAAAAATTATATAAAAATGAATTTTCATTTCATGTCTAAATTTAAAAATTAAAAACATACTTAATTTATAATTAAAAAAAATTTAAATAAGGCAATTTTTAAGTTTTGAATTAGTAAAAAGAAAAGCAAATAGTGTAAAAAGATAAAAATAATATACATCCGAGGGTTAGAGTAAAAAAAAATCTTTTAAACATAAATAAAAAATTAAAAATAAAAGGCAAGACATTTTAACCTCCATACCTGGATACCATTTAATACATTTTATGAGTGGGTAAGTTATAAACAACTTTGGAGGCAAAAATAATAAATTGGTAGAAAATGCTAAAATTAGTGACTCATTTTCATTCTCATCTGTGTAAACGACAATAAAGCAACCCACATATTTGAAGGAGCAAATATGGATCTTACACTTTCTGTGTCACCATACATATAATGTAAAAAGCTTCTCACTGCACTATGTAGTGGAAAGAGGAAAATCAAAAGATAAAGTGTAAAAAGTAAGTTAATTTAAAAAAAAAATCACCTTACACTTCAGATATTTTTGCCTAAACTTAACAACAATTTAGAGTTTTAACAAAATGTTTACAAATGTAATTAATTTTCTAATTAGTAAGAGAATTGATGCTAAATATATAGCCACCTGGCACAATTATTATCAAGGAGTGTTGCTATCACAAATAATCACTATTAATGATTGATTTGCACGAATTTCCTTAAGCACGGGTTTAGATTCGGACTTGTGTATATAAAAAGAAACAATGAGAGCTATTTTTAATATAATTTCCATTCTAATGTTTTATTCTTTACCCAAACAATCTTTTGAAATTGCAACTTTCCTAATTTTAAATTTCAATTATTTTTAAGTTAAAAAATAAATGCAAATAATGCAAACCGTTTTATTTTTTAAAAAACATTCATTTAGAAATGACAGTCCTAGAATCACTTAAAAATGGAAAAAATAATAAAATATTATTCTAAAATAGAATATTGAAATTGAAGTTCTTAATTTAAACAGTCTACTCGAGACTTACACATTATAAAAACAATTTATATTATACAATCATAAAATTGTGGTGAGCAAAAATTATAATAATACAACAGAAGTGAATATTGTGAAGAGTAATAATTATAACAGAAAAAAGGGAAAAGCACAGTAGCGTGTGTGATTGCTCTTGTGAGGCATCTTTAATCATATATTAATGCCATGTGAAACTAAATTTACAAATGAACAGAATTTATTCTATAATCAATAGAATAATATTACATTTATTAGAGGAAGAAAAATAAGAAAATAAAAAATGAAAATGAGGATTTAAATTTAAAAAAGAAAAAAAGACATAAGTGTGAAAAGTCTCTCCCTCTCTCTATATATAATTGGACAAAACAGAAGGAGTTTATATTTGAAGTTTCTCCACAGTGGCACGAAATATAAAGTTGGAGACTGTGAAAGAAGAAAGGAAATGTCAGAAACACGCAGATATGTAAGAAATATCTCAACAGAGGAACTGATTGCAGAGTTTCCATCCCAAAAAAGAGAAAGAAAAGTCAGCAAATGTTTCGTGTACAGTCTGGTAATCTTTGTGATGATAACTTTGATTTGCCTTATTCTTGCACTTTTGATGTCGCACGTGGGAGATCCCAAAATTGAATTCAAATCAGCAAGGTTGATGAACAATACTAACCATTATCATAACGTTTCTTCAACGTCTCCCTTCAATGTCACCATAGTTGTTCGTGTCAGCCTCAGCAGCCCTAGATTTGTCTCCTTCGATTACGAGGCGAGCGCAGCGAGTGTGACGTATGCGAATTCCGGTAAACGTGCTGGTGTTTCCATATTGAAAGCTGCCACATTGGAGGCCAAGGAAACCAGAGATATGGACTTGACTATTCACGTGAGTTTCGGGAAGAAGGTAAATCTAACTGATTATTCCAACTCAGGCATGCTCAAACTCAGAAGTTACGCAAAATTAAGTGGTACGCTGCACACTTTCAAGCTGCTAAAGAAGAGAAAGACCATTCGAGTGTCTTGCACCATCAATCTCGACTTCACCTCATTTTTCACCCAAAACTTCCAATGTTAAGGTTCTTATCATTCTTTCTTTTAAGTCCATCGCTTTTTTCTACACAATTGTTAAATCATTTGAGAATAAATACATTTTAACCATGCTATATATTGTTCACAAACTTTTACATTTTTTTTTCATTTTTCTCTGTAATAGGTATTAAATTATAAAAATATACTATTATATGTATATGTATATTAACTTTTTTTTTCGCATGTATTCCTTTCAAGATTTTCTGCAAGCTATTAACTGTATGAACATTTTCTTACACATGGTAAACTTACCTCCAAATTGTAATTTTTGGTTTGTATAGATTAGGAGATTTCAAAATTATCTAGGTGAAGATTTCCCAGATGCATTGCCAATGGATTAAATCTCCCTTCAAATCACAGTTCCTAAATTTTTTTTCTCTAGTTTGAGAAGGTGAATNAAATACATTTTTGTTTTCATCCTCAATTATTATATATTTTTATTTTTAAAATTTAAAAATAATGAATATATAACTTTTCTAACCTAATGAAATTAGTTTCTTTCAATTATTAAATGATATTTCAATTTAAGATGTAAACTTAACTTTTCAAATAGTCTAAAAAAATATTTAATTTTTAAAAGAAGTTAAACTTGTTGAGTCATTATTTAATTTTTAAAAAGAGTTAAATTTGTTGAATTAAAAAAATTATATAAAAATGAATTTTCATTTCATGTCTAAATTTAAAAATTAAAAACATACTTAATTTATAATTAAAAAAAATTTAAATAAGGCAATTTTTAAGTTTTGAATTAGTAAAAAGAAAAGCAAATAGTGTAAAAAGATAAAAATAATATACATCCGAGGGTTAGAGTAAAAAAAAATCTTTTAAACATAAATAAAAAATTAAAAATAAAAGGCAAGACATTTTAACCTCCATACCTGGATACCATTTAATACATTTTATGAGTGGGTAAGTTATAAACAACTTTGGAGGCAAAAATAATAAATTGGTAGAAAATGCTAAAATTAGTGACTCATTTTCATTCTCATCTGTGTAAACGACAATAAAGCAACCCACATATTTGAAGGAGCAAATATGGATCTTACACTTTCTGTGTCACCATACATATAATGTAAAAAGCTTCTCACTGCACTATGTAGTGGAAAGAGGAAAATCAAAAGATAAAGTGTAAAAAGTAAGTTAATTTAAAAAAAAAATCACCTTACACTTCAGATATTTTTGCCTAAACTTAACAACAATTTAGAGTTTTAACAAAATGTTTACAAATGTAATTAATTTTCTAATTAGTAAGAGAATTGATGCTAAATATATAGCCACCTGGCACAATTATTATCAAGGAGTGTTGCTATCACAAATAATCACTATTAATGATTGATTTGCACGAATTTCCTTAAGCACGGGTTTAGATTCGGACTTGTGTATATAAAAAGAAACAATGAGAGCTATTTTTAATATAATTTCCATTCTAATGTTTTATTCTTTACCCAAACAATCTTTTGAAATTGCAACTTTCCTAATTTTAAATTTCAATTATTTTTAAGTTAAAAAATAAATGCAAATAATGCAAACCGTTTTATTTTTTAAAAAACATTCATTTAGAAATGACAGTCCTAGAATCACTTAAAAATGGAAAAAATAATAAAATATTATTCTAAAATAGAATATTGAAATTGAAGTTCTTAATTTAAACAGTCTACTCGAGACTTACACATTATAAAAACAATTTATATTATACAATCATAAAATTGTGGTGAGCAAAAATTATAATAATACAACAGAAGTGAATATTGTGAAGAGTAATAATTATAACAGAAAAAAGGGAAAAGCACAGTAGCGTGTGTGATTGCTCTTGTGAGGCATCTTTAATCATATATTAATGCCATGTGAAACTAAATTTACAAATGAACAGAATTTATTCTATAATCAATAGAATAATATTACATTTATTAGAGGAAGAAAAATAAGAAAATAAAAAATGAAAATGAGGATTTAAATTTAAAAAAGAAAAAAAGACATAAGTGTGAAAAGTCTCTCCCTCTCTCTATATATAATTGGACAAAACAGAAGGAGTTTATATTTGAAGTTTCTCCACAGTGGCACGAAATATAAAGTTGGAGACTGTGAAAGAAGAAAGGAAATGTCAGAAACACGCAGATATGTAAGAAATATCTCAACAGAGGAACTGATTGCAGAGTTTCCATCCCAAAAAAGAGAAAGAAAAGTCAGCAAATGTTTCGTGTACAGTCTGGTAATCTTTGTGATGATAACTTTGATTTGCCTTATTCTTGCACTTTTGATGTCGCACGTGGGAGATCCCAAAATTGAATTCAAATCAGCAAGGTTGATGAACAATACTAACCATTATCATAACGTTTCTTCAACGTCTCCCTTCAATGTCACCATAGTTGTTCGTGTCAGCCTCAGCAGCCCTAGATTTGTCTCCTTCGATTACGAGGCGAGCGCAGCGAGTGTGACGTATGCGAATTCCGGTAAACGTGCTGGTGTTTCCATATTGAAAGCTGCCACATTGGAGGCCAAGGAAACCAGAGATATGGACTTGACTATTCACGTGAGTTTCGGGAAGAAGGTAAATCTAACTGATTATTCCAACTCAGGCATGCTCAAACTCAGAAGTTACGCAAAATTAAGTGGTACGCTGCACACTTTCAAGCTGCTAAAGAAGAGAAAGACCATTCGAGTGTCTTGCACCATCAATCTCGACTTCACCTCATTTTTCACCCAAAACTTCCAATGTTAAGGTTCTTATCATTCTTTCTTTTAAGTCCATCGCTTTTTTCTACACAATTGTTAAATCATTTGAGAATAAATACATTTTAACCATGCTATATATTGTTCACAAACTTTTACATTTTTTTTTCATTTTTCTCTGTAATAGGTATTAAATTATAAAAATATACTATTATATGTATATGTATATTAACTTTTTTTTTCGCATGTATTCCTTTCAAGATTTTCTGCAAGCTATTAACTGTATGAACATTTTCTTACACATGGTAAACTTACCTCCAAATTGTAATTTTTGGTTTGTATAGATTAGGAGATTTCAAAATTATCTAGGTGAAGATTTCCCAGATGCATTGCCAATGGATTAAATCTCCCTTCAAATCACAGTTCCTAAATTTTTTTTCTCTAGTTTGAGAAGGTGAATTTTCAGAGAAAGTTAGTAGAAAATTTTTTATTGTTTTTTTTTAAAGATTTGAATGTAAAGTAAGTGGATTTGGTGAAGAATTATTTGATTAATGTGATAGAAAAAAATTATTAAATTAAAAAGTGAGATTATTGTTTTTTTATAATTAAAATTGATATATTATTATTATTATTATTAGTATTAGTATTATTATTAATATTATATTTTTATTTAATACTAATTAAAATTGATATATTTTTGTTTTCACCATTAATTATTAACCTTGCAATTAATTCAACCGAAATATAAGCAACCAATACCCCAATACTAAAACTCATTTACGATTTCTTGGCTCACACGAAATTTGTAGGGTATATCCAATAAAAAATCAGGAAAGAATTAAAGGAACAAGGTTGTCATCTTTTAATGGAGTGCAAAAGTTGAAGAAAAAGGAGAGTCTTTAAGTGTTAAAAGTTATTTTTAAGCAAACCGCATATGAAAGGGAATTTCTCATTTTGTTTTCATTTTTTTAGGGTGTGTTGGCAGTATTATTTTTTCTTAATTTCTTATTCATGATTTTAGTCTTTCTATTTTTTTAACTATATTTAATAAATTTAAAATGTTTACAACTTAAATTTATTTATTTTTGTACTTCTTTTCTTAATTTTTGTCCGATTGAATCTGATAATAGAAATATTTATTCAAAACATGATTAAAAATATATATTTGCTTAGTTTAATGTGTATTTCACGGTAACTAAATTAAAACAGAGGAATGAAATTCCATTTAACAGTGAAAAATTACAAAATATCTAATATTTAATAAAATATAATAAATAATTTTCACTCAGATTGATACATTTGTTCAAAAATAGTATAACTATAAAAACACACTATATACACAAAAACTATAAAATCTCTAGTTTTTCCAAAAACATGAACATAAATCTAGAGATGCATCAATACATACATCTCGTCTCTTTACATCGTAAGATGATAATTGCAATAAGAGAAAACAAACATAGAAAATAACAAATCACAAAAATAAGGTTAGTTAGATAAAAAAGAGTTATAAATATAATAAAAATAATTTAATTTGCACATCGAATAGAAATTTTAACTGTCTCTTTTAAGTACATCAAAATTGTGAAAATCATTTTCCTAACCATAAACCTCAAATCAAATATCTTGACAGTCAAATTAAAGATTCATATGTATAGGACTTCCTATCAAAATTTTAGTTCGATTTAACGGTTAACGAAGCAAAAATCTCATTTTTCTTAAGATGATTTAAACAAGAAAAATAAGACGGCATTTGATGTTGGGAAAATGATGTCCAATGCTATAACCCCTGAAACCCACTCATTTAAAAGTGTTTGACAATCCAAAAGTGGCTCTCAACGCCCCACGTTAGTGGTCATTGTATAAGAAGCGAAAATTGCAAGTTTGAGTTATAATTGAGAAAATTGACTTTTTTTAATCTATTTCTGAATTGATAAACTTCATAATACTTTAATATATCAATATTTTAGTTCAAGAAGTGTCAAGTTGGATTAATGAAAAATTTCATAGAAAAGTTCATGTTATCAACAAAACTCAAAGAACAAAGAGAAAACATGATTTTTCTACCAGATGTTGAAATTGATATGTCTAAATGCTTTCACACTTTTTATACTAAAACACCAACTTCTAATTCAAATCATTGCATTTAGACCAAAATTCCTTTGAACGTAAAAATGCAGAAAAATCATAACACATCAAATTACACATTTTCTCAACCACTTCAATTATTTAACACATCCACATTTATCTCAATAAGTTCCAATTTAAAACAAACTTTCAAACATAGTAATTCATGTTTGTAGAATCTCCTAATTTAACTCAGTGAACAACATTGTAA